ATTCTCTTTGACCCTATCCAAACCTGCTTTCAAATAAAAACCTAAATTAATCTGACTGTATTAAATTCAAAACTTCTTTATTAGACATTTAATAATTATGAATAAAGCCACTATAAATATTCACATAAAGGTTTTTGCGTGGATATGTTTTCATTTCTCTCGGGTAAACACCTAGGAGAAAGGTTGCTGGATTGTATGACTGTACCATTTTGCACCCCCACCATTAATACACAGTAATTCCAATTGTACTACATCCTTGTCAGCACTAGATATTGTCAGTTGGTTATTTTTTCTTTAGCCATTCTAATAGGTGCATAGTGGTATTTCAAAGGTGCTTTTAATTTGTATTTTCTTAATGATGTCACACAGATTTTTAATGTAGCAACCTCAGATGTTGGAAAATATGTAAAGAAATGGGAACTCATTTACTCATACAATGCTAGTGCAAGTGTAAATTAATATATCTCATTTATTCATGCACTGCTAGTGCAAGTGTAAATTAATACATCTATTTTGGATTTGACGATACCTAGTAAAGATGAATGTGAACATCCCCTTTAACCCAACAGTTCCATATACCCCAGAGGAAATCTACTGTATATGTTCAAAAAGTCTTATATTAGACTATTACTTGCAGCATGGTTTTATATAGACCAAAAAAAAATTTTATATGCCCATCAGTAGAAGAATAAATAAACAATTTGTGGCTTAATAACTGCAGTGCTACAGAGCAGTTAAAAATGGACTAGAGCTAAATATATATCAACGCGGATAAACAAGTGAAAAGAGCAAGTTGACAAGTGATAAGTACATTTCTATAAAAGTTGAAAATGCAAAACAATATAATACATTGGTTTTGTTTATGTATCCATAAGTATAAAAACATGAGCGTGGATGAGGAACACCAAATTCTGGACTGGCACCAAATTCATTCCTGGAGGAGAGGAATGGGGTTGAGGAAGGCGTACAGGGGCATCTGTTCCCTCCTCCAGAATAATGTAAGGCAAATATGGCAATGCTAGGATTTGGTAAACTGGGCATTGATCACATTATTCTCAATACTATGTTTGACATATTTCATAATTGGGGGAAAAAAACACGCAATGAGTTGTCTCACAATAAAAGGAAGATAACTGGTAGAACCGAGTAACCTATCAATGAATCAAAGTCCATTCATACCATCTCAACCTCATGAAAGAAGCATTGCTATTTTGTTTTGAGACACTAGAAAACAGGTTCCAAATGGTCAAAGGAATAGTATATGACAGAATTAGGACTCCAGCCCATTTCTTCTAATCTCCAAGTCTAGTGTTTGTTCCATTACATCAGTGCTGTCTTAAAGCTTCTACTCCCTAGAGGCAATGGTTGCATTCTTACTGAAGATTGAATTCTTTGGCCAGAACCCTTCATTCAAAACTCAACAGTAAACAACAACAACAACAACGACAAATAATGCAATTAAAAAAACAGACTAAAGATTTGAACATACACTTTACCAAAGAAGATAGATGGCAAATAAGCACGTATATACAGTATTCATCAAGAGAATGAGAAGACTAGCCATCAACTGGAGAAAATATTTATGAGACATATCTAATAAAAGACCCTGTTTCTGTCTGTTCAGGCTACTGGAACAAAAAGTACCATAAACTGGGTGGCTTATAAACAAACACTTCTGGAAGCTAGGAAGTCCAAGATCAAAGTGCCAGCATGGTCGGGTGAGGGCATTCTGGCGTGGAAGGGGCTAGGAAGCTCTATGGAGCTTCTTTTATAAGAACACTAATCTGAATCACGAGGACTCCACCCTTATGACAAATCATTTCCCCAAATACCCCTCCTAATACCATTATTAGGGGTTAAGATTTCAACATAAGAATTTGAGGGGGTGGGGAGAGGGAGAGAAAACAAATATTCAGACCATACCAGACTGTTATCCAAAATATACCAAAAAATAAAAACCTTAAAATTCAACAATAAGAAAACCACCCAATTTAAAAATGGGCTAAAGACCTTAACAGACACTTCATCAAGATATACAAGTTAGCATATGAAAAGATGTTCCACATCATGTCATCAAGGAAATGCAAATTAAAACAATGAGGCACCACTACATACCTATTAGAATTCAAAAATTCAAAACACTGACAATATCAAATGCTGATGATAACTTGGGACAACAGGAATTCTCATTCATTTTTGGTATGAGTGCAAAAATGGTACAGCCACTTTAGAAGACAATTTGGCTGTCTTAAGTTTCTTGCAAAACTAAGCATACTCTTACATGTGATCCATTGAACACTATCCTTAGTTTATTTATTGAAATGAGTTGAAAACTTATGCCCACCCAAAAACCTGCACACAGATCTTTATAGCATCTTTATTCATAACTGCCAAAACTTGAAAGCAACCAAAATGTCCCTTCAGTGGGTGAATGAGTAATCTGTGGTACACCTAGATAATGGGACATTATTCAGCACTAAGAAATAAGCTATCAAGTCATGAAAAGACAGGATGAAACTTTATATGCATATTACTAAGTGAAAGACACCAGTCTGAAAAGACTACATACTATATGATTCCAAGTATATGACATTCTGGAAAAGGCAAAATTGTGGAGACAATAAAAAGATTAGGGTTTGGGAAAGGTAGGGATGGAAAGAAGTAGCACTGAATTTTTAGGGCAGCAAAACTATTCTGCATAATATTATAATGATGGATACATGTTGTTATACATTTGTCAAAACCATCATATATTTGTACAACATCATGAGTGAACCTTAATGTAAACTATAGACTTTGGGTGATAATGATGTGCAAATGTAGGCTCATCAATTATAATATGCCGTTCTAAGATTTTAGTAGTAGGGAGGTTGTACGTGTGTGGAATCAGGGGATCTGTGGGGACCTTCTCTACTTTCCACTCAATTTTGCTGTGCAAAATTAAAAAAACAAAACTTCTCAAAAAAACCATTTTTTAAAAGGTGTTACATGATGCCTAATATTATTAGGCATTAGGGAAATGCAAGATAAAACCACAATGAGAATCTACAGCATGCCTACTAAAATGTTAAAATTTAAAAGGTTGACCAGACCAAATGTTGGAAATGATGTAGAGGAACTGGAACTCTCATATACTGTTGGTGAGAATGTAAAATGGTATAACCATTTTGGAAAAATGTTTGACAGTTTCTTAAAAAAAATAAACATGCTCTTACCATGTGATCCAGCTGTTTCACCTTTAGGTATTAACAGGAAAGATGGGTCCATATAAAGACTTATATACAAATGTTTATGCAGCTTTATTTGTAACAGCCCCAAACTGGAAGCAATTCCAGTGTCCATCAACAGATGAATGGTTAAACTCATGAAATATAGCCATAAAATGGAATACTTACCAATAAAAATGAAGTACTGATAAAACAACATGGATGAATCTCAATTATGTTGAGTGAAAGAAGCTAGATAATAAGAGAGCATATACTGTATGATTCCATTTATTAAATCTTGAAAATATAAACTATAGTGACAGCAGGGGATGGTGGGGACGGTGGGGAAGAAAGGATGGAAGAACGAATTAAAAAGAGACCTGAGGAAACTTTGGGAGACGATGGATATGATTACTAATTTGATTTTGATGATGGTTTCATGGATGTATACATATGTCAAAATGTATCAAATTATAATATTTTTAAAATATGTAATTTACACCTAGGAAGACCGGGTGCTATAGGCAAATAAATAAATAAATAAATAAAATATGTAATTTATTGTATATCAATTACACTTCAATAAAGCTGTTTAAAAGAAGGAGAAAGCTATCATCCAGCATAGACCTATGCTTTTAGGACAATTGTCAATGCTACCTGAGTTTGGAAAATGACCAAAGGTTTATAGGAATTTTGATCACCCAATTTGCAAGAGTGGTGTCTATATTTGAGAAAATTTACTTACCATAGAAACTTGTTTGAAAAATTTTCAATTACTTTCCCACAGGGTCTCTGTGGCAATTTCAACTTGAGTAATCTGTTTCTTTCTAATTGCTGTAATAATTCTCCAACCTTACGTGTCACTGTTTATTTTGTCCCTGGAACACCCACCTAGCTCTACAGTTTGCCTGGTCTTATCCCTCTCTATGTACCACAGGGATCTACTACGAGGTCAATGGAAATGAAGGGTGGGAGGGGGCAAAAGGGAAGTGGAGTGGTTTTATTAGAACACATGAGAAGTCAGCCTAGACAAAGATCATTTGGAGCCAAGCTAAATCCAATGCCAAGATTCTGAACCAAAAATCCACTCCCAGATCCCAGTAACCCTGGATTCTGATGCTGTCCTCTCTTCTGTTTGTGTTTACAATCAGGTTTTGACAATAGCGCAAGTTCCCAACTAGAAGACTGGGTTGTCGTAGGAAGAAACATATAGTACCCAATAAAACAATTATATTTAACTTACACCCGCTTAAATTGTGAGGGCATGGGCTGCTTCTCAGCCTCAATGATAGTCACAGCAGTGATGGACACCTTGCTGTTCACACCCTAGTAAGATCAGTAAATCCTAAAGAGCAGTTGAATAACCTAACAAAAAAGATAAATTACTGCTTTAGGTCCTTACCTAGCTTATCCTTCTCTTCAGTTTAGTATAAAAATCAAAGCTCTGGTATTTGGGGTAAAGTCTCACCTTTATTCTTTCTGCTGTGTCTGCTGAATAAGGCAAATTAGGAAGAAAAGCACCTAGGCTAGTATCATGGGTTTCTCAGAATTGGTTTTGCTCTGAGACCTTTGGCTGTCAGGCCCAGCTCAGCAAATTAATGTGTTGTTTTGTTTTGTTTTCAGGCTACATGTTATTATTTCAAAATTCCTCCTACCTCCTGCTATTGAGCTAAGATGGTTGGGGACTTTGGACTGCTAGTTCCTTTGAGGTGACAACGCAGACCAGGTTGGGGAGTACGGGCTAGTGTTCGGGTGTTCAGTGGGCAGTGCTGTGAACTAGGAGATGACTAAAAACTTAAAATTGCAAGAGAGGGAGCAGATGCCTAAGGAGGATCCACCTACCCAGCTAACCAGATTCCAGACATACCGTGATTTGCCTGAATGGGTGTCGCAGGCATAGGGACAGGGGTGTGTTTGGGTAAGTGAAGTTCAGAATTTGGAGTGCGACAGACCTGAGTTCCAACAGAGCTCCGCCGCTCGGTGGCGGTGAGACCCCTCACACACGCCCTCTGGGACGCGCGGTTTCCTCCTCTGTCCGCGGGCAGCGGTGCGGGGCATCCACGCACAGGAAGGCCCGCGGTCGGGATGGGCGCCGCGGACGCCCCCT